GGGAAAATGGTTTTTGGAAATTTCTTTCCAGTTGTTATACAACCTTTGGTTTATTTTCTTTAGTAATTTATTATTAACAGGGTATTTGTGCCTTTTTATTTTTGTAATCTGCATCTGTATGTTAACAAATACTGATATTACAGGCCATTTGAAATCCGAATCCAAGTTGTAGAAAAGTATGATCCTGCCCTTCTTTCCCGCCTTGGGTTGTGCATTTTTGCCAGCCACTGCCAGTGTCTGACCAGACAAATTCCGAGATCAGGATCTGGTGTCTGCCCACATCAATGGCAATTCTGTCTCAGGGGAAGCTCTGGAAAGACGCAAGAGTGTATGGGCAAGGGGAGAAGGAAGGCTGCCCCTGAAGGTGAGGGCATGAACAGGTTTGTTGGTTAGCTGGTAGGTTACCATGCTTGGCATCATACACATTGCACAGACTTTACTATTGGGGTCTTACAAAGGCTTGGTATATAAACGTATACTTTATAGATGTATACTATTGATTCAGACCTTGAATATTATGTAGTAAAGGAAGTAAAACAGACGATCTTTCTTGATATATCTGGCTAGGTTCTTTCAAGCATTTAAATGGAAACAGTGACAGCCTCTCCTGATTGTTTACACATTTCAGCTTATAAACTCCAATTAAAATATCCAGACTGGATCAGAGGGATTGTATGAGTTTGGCTTTACTCATAGGTTTTTTTCAGTAGTAGTAACAAAGTTCTTACAAGTTTAAAGAGAAGGAATATAGCTGTATGACAGAAATCTGCGGTTGATTAAACGTTTACAATAATGACACTGCACTACGTAACATGTAACATAGCTGGTTTTCATAGTCATTAGGCCTATAAGTGTACCTGTGACATCATTATTATTAATTAATTGCGTCTTTACATAGTATTTCATATACTCAGGGTATTAGAGGAGTAGGACAGTGGAATTAAAAAAACGGGAAGTATACCTAGGGTATTGACTTTAGCAACTGTTTTCACTGCATTCTTTAGCATTGTTTATTTCAACTATTATTACTATCATTACAAAAGGTTTTAGATTTTGAAGACTGGTGTCGTGGTTTAAGCTCAGTTGTAAATCAGCCAGGCAGTCCGCACTCACTCCCCCCACTTTCCTCCCCCAGCTCCCAGAGGGATAGGGAGGAGAATCGAAAGAATGTAACTCTCACGGGTTGAGATAAGAGCAGTCCAGTAACTAAGGTGTAACACAAACCACTGCTGCTACCACCAATAATAGTAATGATAAGGGAAATAACAAGGGAGGAGAATACAATACCACCTGCCAACTGATACCCAGCCCGACCAAGTAGTGAACTAGCCCTTCCGGATAATTCTCAGTTTACCTCCTGGGTATGATGTGCTGTGGTGTGGAATACCTCTTTGGCTAGTTTGGGTCAGGTGCCCTGTCTCTGCTTCCTCCTGGCTTCCCCTCCTTCCTGGCAGAGCATGAGACTCAGTCCTTGGTCAGACTAAACATTTGAGCAGTCTAAAAACATCGGTATTATCAGCGCTGTTCCCAGGCTGAAAGTCAAAACCACAGCACTGCACCAGCTTACTAAGGAGAAAAAATGACTGCTACTGCTGAACCCAGGACAACTGAAAAAGCGGAAAGTATTTTGCTTCACATTTTCGTTTTGAAGGGTTTTCAGTCTTCAAAAGGGTAGAAGCTGGTCTCTTCTGAGATAAAACCACTAGATGGCATTCCAGAAGAGGAGTTTGATAAAGTTAACATGCACAGTTTTCACATGAGAAATATTAAAGGATTACAAGCTTGGAATGAGGGTGAACGATGTCCGGTGAGAAACGAAGGTGAGTGGGTGTAGTTATAAGTATTGAGCTGATGTGGGAAGAAGCAAAATAAAAAATAAAATACTCCAAAGTGTAGTATTAATGGTGCTGGCATGCAGTACTTGAGGGGGGTGGAAAAATAAGTTGCCAGAAGTGGTAACAATTGTTGGAACTCTTTCATAACTGAGACGTTAGCTGAACTCTCTCCTTGTGCGGTTATTTTCTCCACTTCTAAAGCTGTATTTGTTGCATGACTTTCAATAGCTCTCCAGTAAGCTCATGAATTTGTTGCAAGGGAAAGGAAGTATTTTTCTTGGCCTATTGCTGCTGAAATTTGTCTTTTAAAAATCTCGTCTTTTAAAACTGAGTTTCACTGATCAAAAGTGTACTTGCACCTTCCCCCTTTCACAGATGTACAAATATGTCCTCAATACAGGCCATAATGGAAGTTATTCACTAACTTGAGCGGATTTTTTTTTTTCCCAGAGTATTCCCTAATGTATATTCTCAGTGATTTTTCTGATGTATGAGTGTTTGTTTCACATGACTCAAAATAAGATCATTCTCTAAATCTTTCTATCCAAAACACTGGATTAGCCTTCACAAATGCTTTAATTTAGGAATCAGTTAACTGGAATCTTAAAAAGGTCCTACTGAAGCCTACTCCAGGAATCATTAATAAGGATTTTTCAGCTTTGTGCTTTTTAGCATTTTCTGCATTTTTCATTATTACCATCATTGCTTAATTATGGTTTCATTATCTTATCATAAATTAATCATCTGTGCTACATAAGATTACTAAATTAATTAATATTGTAGCATTAACTTTAGTTATTGAGAAGAAAGGGAGGATTGCAGTTCTGAGATGGAATGGTATGTGCCTTTTGTGCAGTGTTGTATAGTTCACGTCATGCTTGTTCCTGGCTGATTTAAAAATACATCTTTGCTAAGAAAAGAAACAATTATTTTTACCTTGCTGTTAACTCTGTAACTATATATCCGTTATTTCAATCTACAGCACAATGTAGCAACAAAACAGTACACATATTTTACAGGCAAGGGAATCTATACTAGGAGTACTGTATTGCAAATAATTTCAGATACCCTGAGAAATTGCAAACTGAAAAGGAGGTTGAATGTTTGACAGAATTGACAATGCAGTAGTGACTGCTGGTCCTGTTCTACCTTAAGTTCAGGTTTTAGAAAAAAGATCATTAACAGTAGTAATGGAGAATTTCTGTTCATTTTGATGGGAAGCAGGCCCATATTACAGTATGTTAGAGATTGGAAGGGACCTCAAAAGATCATCTAGTCCAATCCCCCTGCCGGAGCAGGAACACCTAGATAAGGTTACACAGGAACGTGTCCAGGCGGGTCTTGAATGTCTCCAAAGAAGGAGATTCCACAACCTCCCTGGGCAGCCTGTTCCAGTGTTCCGTCACCCTCACTGAGAAGAAGTTTCTTCTCAGGTTTAAGTGGAACCTCTTGTGTTCCAATTTGTACCCATTTCCCCTTGTCCTTTCATTGTTTGCCACTGAGAAGAGCCTGGCTCCATCCTCGTGACACTCCCCCTTTATATATTTATATACACTAATAAGGTCACCCCTCAATCTCCTCTTCTCCAAACTATAGAGACCCAGCTCCCTCAGTCTTTCCTCATAAGGGAGGTGCTCCACTCCCTTAATCATCTTAGTTGCCCTGCGCTGGACTCTCTCCAGCAGGTCCCTGTCCTTCTTAAACTGAGGGGCCCAGAACTGTACACAGTATTCCAGATGCGGTCTCACCAGGGCTGAGTAGAGGGGAAGGAGGACCTCTCTCGACCTACTAACCACCCCCCTTCTAATACACCCCAGGATGCCATTGGCCTTCTTGGCCACAAGGGCACAGTGTCGGCTCATGGTCACCCTGTCGTCCACCAGGACCCCCAGGTCCCTCTCCCCTACACTGCTCTCTAACAGGTCGTTCCCCAATCTATACTGGAACCTGGGGTTGTTCCTGCCCAGATGCAGGACTCTACACTTTCCCTTGTTATATTTCATCAAGTTATTCCCCGCCCAGCTCTCCAGCCTGTCCAGGTCCCTCTGGATGGCAGCACAGCCTTCTGGCGTGTCAGCCACCCCTCCCAGCTTAGTGTCATCAGCAAACTTGCTGATAGTACACTCAATTCCCTCATCTAAATCGTTGATGAATATATTAAATAATACTGGTCCCAGTACCGACCCTTGAGGCACTCCACTAGATACAGGCCTCCAACTAGACTCCGCCCCATAGACTACAACTCTCTGGCTTCTCTCCTTCAGCCAGTTCACAGTCCACCTCACTACCCGATCATCCAGACCACACTTCCTCAATTTAGCCGCAAGGATGCTGTGGGAGACCGTGTCAAATGCCTGTGTTTGAGAAACGTGGAAACATCATGGCACACAATTACCAAATACAGATACAATTACAGTGCCTCCTGAAATACAGGTTTTTTGCAGGATTCTCTCACAGTTGTGACACAGAACTGTGTATTTCACTTCTAAAGTGGTTCTGTGAAGTGAGTCTAGTCAAGAGTTTTCCTGCGCTGTGCTGAAGTACTTGCAGGTGGTGTCTCAGAAATCACCCATCAAACACCGGGAAATTCAGTTTCACAGGGTTTTAATTCTGGTGTAAGTATCTTCATTTCCACTCAGCGGCCGCAGCCCTCACACCAGAACCGCAGACCTTCCACGGCAAATAGGCTGGCTGCCACAGGGTCTGGGAATGATGGGCTGCAGAGCAAGGGTTAGCATCCAAACACCCCCGCCGTTCATAATAGCCAGGGAGCAGCTAGGGGTATTAGCATAATTTCCGCTACTATCCACAACGTGAACTGAGAGGAAAAACAGAGGTTTTGTGCATTTATGCTCCTATCAGCTGGTAAGAGTTCATGGTCACCAACACCGTGTGGACCGAGGCACAGTCACTGACCTACGGTACAGCAGCATGCAGAGCCTCTGCAGGTGCTCTGTGCTTCCGTGCTTCTGCTAACTGCCGGAGTTGGAGACGCCTCTCGGCCCGTATCCTTTCATTCCGCTTCCTTTTCCACCTCTCCCTGGCCTTCCTCGGCCCTGGGCCGTGCACAGCGGAGCACGTCCCGCCCACAGCTGCGGCTCCGCGGTGATCAGACACACCCCCCCCGGCACAGTGCGCATGCTCACGTCCATCGCGGTGCGCAGCTCTCTCCGCCTTCCGCTCCCGGTTGCTATGGCTACCGCTATGCTCCGCCCGGAGAAGCGGCAGCTGCGGAGAGCGGCGCGGGGCGGGAGCTGCTGGGGAAAGTAACTGGTGCGGGGCCGGGAGGGGGGCGCGGGCCGGGCCGGGCCGGGCAGGGCAGGGCAGTCTCTGCCCTCCTGCACAGCCACGGGCTGGGGTCCGGTCTGGGCGCGCAGCATACCGGAAGGGCCTGCCCGACCCAGTGGTAGCGACTGCGCACCGTCCGGCGCCTCGTGACGGGGCCCGGTGGCATAACCAGGCCGGCGAGGGGCGCCGGCCCTGGGTAGGAACGGCCCGAGGTACCGGCGCTGGGGCGGGGATCACTGCTTTTCGCTGCTGCTGCTGCAGCTGCTGCCCGTGTTCGTCACGAGTGTGGGATTCGGGTTCTTCCAGCCCGTGTCATTGCAGTGGCAGCACAGAAACCGTTAAAGGTGTGCTGTCTCTGAGTAATGCTGAGTCTTGGGGTCTGTATATCATAGAATGATTTATGTTGGAAGGGGCCTTAAATACCTAGTTCCAACCCCCCTGCCATGGATAGGGATACTTCTCCACTAGACCAGCTTGCTCAAAGCCCCATCCAACCTGGCCAGTTATGCTTATTGCTTGCTCTGCAGTATTATGTTTGTTAAACACCAGTGAGAAGATGATAAGTGATTTCGGGCTGGCTATTCTAAACAGACTGTTAGGGAATAGATACAGAAAAAACTTTTGAGGATACTACACCACCCATATGTTTGGTAGTAGAGCTCTGCTAGTACGTGGTTTTAAATAGATGCTGTGATTATTCTTGCAGAAAGGTTGAAAGTGTGCAACTGATATTTCAGGAAAAGCAAGGTACGTTGGATAGTTGCTGTGAAGTTGTTACAGCACAGGGGCCCTGTGCAGAGCAACCATCTGCATCCCCACCAAGAAGAGCAGTTGGAGAGGGCAAGAGCGGGGACGAAGCAGAGAAGGCTCTGCTTTCAGAAGCTACCGGCACTGCACAGTCAGAGAAAAGCTGTGAGAAAGTCTTCTCTGGAGCAGTCAGTTTTGAAGGAACAGGAGCAGTCAAGTTCAGCACAGTGGGAACAACCTGGAGAAGGGCTAGGCAATCAATAAACAATTGGAAATAACCAGCAAGATTTGAGCCAGGTGCCCCCTTCAACGCATCATCTGAGAACACATCATCTTTTAACACACCATCTGTTACCAATAAGAATTACCCTACTTTAACTGAAGTAAGAAATTCAGAAAGGGAAGAACAAATATCTCAAAACTCAGTATCAGAGAATATGGCAAGTGGGACAGGTAAAGAAGTTACTAAAATGTTGGATGTTAAGGCTTTAAAGAGATTTGGTTTTTTCTTCAACTTGATTATGGCTCCTTGCATCTCCCATGCTCTCATTCTGTTCATGTTTGCTGGTTTTTGAACTTGAAGTGACTTCTTAAATTCTCATGTAAAACACGCTTGAAAAGCTAAGAAATGCATTCTTCATCTCAAGTTGCAGTAGAAACTCATATGACATTTTATAGTGATCTTCATTTCCAGAAATGTATGTAAGTTTATGTGTTTTGTACACGCATTTGTGAAACAGCAATGCATAATTCACATGAATACATGGGCTATTAACAGTTTAGATCAGATCACAGCAAACAGCTTACTATTTTAGCTCTCTTGGATTCCCCTGTCACTTGCCTGCCACCCTTCCATTATCAGTGCAGTCCCCGAAACGCTCCATCATGTGCTGTATTTTTCCCTCAGCACTCTGGGTGTCCAGTGTTACTTCCTCTTCCTAATTCAGTGCCTGGTTTTCTTAGGTCTTTAGAGCAGAAGGTAGCACTTCCCATTCAGCAGGTGAGTGCAGTGAGTGATTATTTAGAGTATGGACCTGCTGACGGCTGTCCTCTTGGCAGGGCTGGGTTTAGAGCCAGTCTTTCAGAATGGCTGGTGATCACGTCCTAGGAAAAGCACTATACCAAAGCCAGATACAGTCTTATCTCTTAATTCAATAAATAATTTCTGGAGTTAAGTAGATCTGGTTCAGAATATAGTCTTTGAGTAAACACCACAGCATTAAGTATTGTGTGAAAAACAACAGTGATTCTAAGCATACAACATAAGCTTAGATCAGATCTAAAGTGGAGCAGGTTTAAGTGAGATTTTTCAGTAAAATTTCTCTGTGTAAATGGGTAACTAATTTAAGATTATGCATTTACTGTAACTTGTAAAAAATTGAAATAAGAATGACTTTCAGTGGTGACAGTATTTAGGTATCTCTTTAGAGAGTATGTGATAATACTGTTTCAGATTTCAAGCAGACTGTCATTCCAGCTCAAAAATCTGATTATTCTGTGTTGCAGTGTTTCAATGAAATCACCTCAGAGTAAACTTGAAAAACTTACTCATTTGTTTTGTGAAGCTTACCAAGAATTAATTTTGGCTTTATTTTTAGGAAGCATGACTGAGGATAATCAAAACCCTGGGAGGACTAGGGCCAACCTTGATGAAAATATCCAGTCTGAGAAGTTACGTCTAGATCAGGAGCATTCTCCTGGGAAAGCAGTTCAACAGGATTACTGCATGCCTGATCTCATAACTGTCAGAATACAAACAGGTAAATGCTGGTTTTGCACATATGTAGAGATATAAATAGAGAGCAGACTTTGGCCTTTTCAGGAACCTGCTTAGTAAGTTTCCATGGGATATAGCCCTATAGGGCAGGGGGGCCCAAAACTGTTGGTTGATATTCAAGGATCACCTACTACAAGCTCAGGAGTGTTGCATCCCAACTAGAAGGAAGTGCAGCAGGAAGGCCAGGAGATCTCCATGGATGGATAAGGAGCTGCTGAGGAAAATTCGAAGGAAAAAAGAGGCTTTTTTCAAAGGAAAAAAGAGGGAAGAATACAGGGATGTTGTCTGGGAAGCTAGGACCAGGTTAGGAAAGCTAAGGCCCAGTTAGAATTGAACTTGGCTAGGGATGTTAAGGATAACAGGAAGGGATTCTATAGGTACGTAGTGCATAAAAGACAGGCTAGGGACAATGTAGGCCCCTGTGGAAGCTATCGTGAGAACTGGCTACCCTGGATTTGGAGAAGGCTGAGATTCTTAATGACTTCTTTGCCTCAGTCTTCACTGGCAAATGCTCTGACCACACCACCCAGGTCTTGGAAGGCAGATGCAGGGACTGTGAGAATGAAAAACTTGGGCCCACAGTAGGAGAGGATCTGGTTTGAGACCGTCTTAAGAATCTGAAGGTACACAAGTCCATGGGACCTGATGAAATCCATCTGCGGGGCCTGAAGGAGCGAATGAAGTTGCTAAGCCACTGGCCATCATATTTGAAAAATCATGGCAGTCAGGTGAAGTTCCCGACGACTGGAAATATAACCCCCATTGTCAAGAAGAGGAAAATGGATGACCCGGGGAATTACAGACCAGTCAGTCTCACCTCTGTGCCTGGTAAAATCTTGGAGCAGATTCTCCTGGAAGGCATGCTAAGGCACATGAAAAACAACAAGGTGCTTGGTGACAGCCAGCATGGCTTCACTAAGGGGAAATCCTGCCTGACCAATTTTGTGGTCTTCTATGATGGGGCTACAGAACTGATGGATACGGGTAGAGCAGTTGATGTCATCTACCTGGGCTTGTGCAAAGCGTTCGACACTGTCCCACATGACATCCTTGTCTCTAAATTGGAGAGACATCAATCTGATGAATGGACCACTCTGTGGATAAGGAACTGGCTGGATGGCCGCACACAAAGAGTTGTGGTCAATGGCTCAGTGTTCAGCTGGAGACCGGTAGTGAGTGGTGTCCCTCAGGGATCGGTGTTGGGACCGGTCTTGTTCAACATCTTTGTTGCTGACATGGACAGTGGGATTGAGTGCACCCTCAGCAAGTTTGCCACTGACACCAAGCTGTGTGGTTCGTTTGATACGCTGGAGGGAAGGAATGCCATCCAGAGGGACCTTGACACATCTGTGAGGTGGGCTGATGCCAACATCATGAAGTTTAACCATGGCAAGTGCAAGGTTCTACACGTGGGTCAGAGCAATCCCAGGCACAGCTACAGGTTGGGCAGAGAAGAGATTCAGAGCAGCCCTGTGGAGAAGGACTTGGGGGTGCTGGTTGATGAGAAAATGAACATGAGCCGGCTTCAGTGTGAGCTGTGAGCAGAGAAAGCCAACCATATCCTGGGCTGCATCAGAAGGCGCGTGACCAGCAGGTCGAAGGAGGTGATCCTGGCCCTCTACTCTGCTCTTGTGAGACCTCACCTGGAGTATTGTGTGCAGTTCTGATGCCCTCAACATAAAAAGGACATGGATCTGTTGGAACAAATCCAGAGGAGGGCCACGAGGATGATCAGGGGACTGGAGCACCTCCCGTACGAAGACAGGCTGAGAAAGTTGGGGCTGCTCAAGCTGGAGAAGAGAAGGCTGCATGGAGACCTCATAGCAGCTTTTACAGTATCTGAAGGGTGGCTATAGGGATGCTGGGGAGGGACTCTTCATTAGGGACTGCAGTGACAGGACAAGGGGTAATGGGTTAAAACTTGAACAGGGGAAGTTTAGATTGGATGGAGGGAAGAAGTTCTTTATTGTAAGGGTGGTGAGGCACTGGAATGGGTTTGCCCATGGAAATTGTGAATGCTTCATCCCTGGCAGTGTTCAAGGCCAGGTTGGACAGAGCCTTGGGTGAGATGGTTTAGTGAGGTGTTCCTGCCAATGGCAAGGGGTTGAAGCTAGATGATCTTAAGGCCCTTTCCAACCATAACTGTTCTGTGATTCTATGTGTTGATACATGTAATTGTGCTCTAATCTCAATATTTCAATCTTGGAACTTCCTTTTTAACAGATTCTGATTCATTCCAAGATGTAGTTGTAAAAATTGAAAGACCTACCTATCAAAAACCATTTCTTGGTGGATTTAAGAACAGGATAACAGGAGTGGAATTTCATAATGCAGGATCGCAAACAATACCAAAAAAACTACCTGATAAAGGAATTCTTGTATTTTGTAGGGAAACACAGGTAATGGCTTTGTAGTGTCTTTTTAGAATGTTGTTTTTGCCAAATGGGATAAAATGTTGACACAATAATTTCCAATGGGGAATAAGGGAATAGATGAGGAGTAAGTGTGCAATTGGAAGTATTTAGTGGATGAATATCACTGATCTCATGATTTGTGTTACAGATAACTAATTTTGCCACTTTCTGTAATGAGGAAAAAAACCCTCTATGTTTTGTTATATTCTGACATGTATTTTTTCCCCAGACAGTTTTTGAAAAAAATAAGCAACAACAAACAACAAATACAACATCAACACAAATGACTAAAACTGGCCTCTATGTGTCAAACAAGACTGACAGACTAATAACTCCTGGGAAGTATATTACAGCAGAAGAATACCATAAACGTAGACTTGAAGCAGTAAGTTCTTATCTGTTTGAAACTGTCTGTGAAGCAAAATATTACAAAGGTCATCTGAATATTTAATGAGTGTTCAAAGAGTGAATTTAAAAGTGAACTGCAAAATGTTGCTTAATCTTCACATTTGTAATTTTCAGATATGGGGAAAGTGTGTCTTTGCTCTGTGGTTTTTGTGACATTTGGTATTTAGTTATTAATTTGTTTGCCTAAAACAGGCAGTCTGAATCTAACTAAATGGAGAGATAGTTGATTCACTGAACGTTGAAGTAGGATGATTGCCTTGGTGCGGTTGGCAAGATGCTTTGAAGACTTCTGGTAGAAGTTTTCTCTAAGAACTTCTTAGCTGGTCAGCATCAACTAGCAGCAGGAAGTATCTCGTAGAAGTGGAAAACCAGAATAGGTTATTGTTTCCTCAGGACTACTGATATGTATTGATATGTATTACTGGATTATGTAATGTGTCTGTAAGTAATATGTAGCACACAGTAGAGAGACATCAGCTTGGTGCTGGTTCATGCTGATGGTTCTGCACTGTGCAGTGTAGGTCCATACTGAAATACTATCTGGAGACACATTCAAGAGAAATATTAGGATAAGATATCTCTAGAGACAGCATAACTATTACTGTGGTTATTTGCTTGAATAGCCTTCAATGCTGCACAATGCTTATTAGCTTATGGTATTGGCCTGCTTGTGTAGTCCAAGCTGACACAGATAGCAGAAGGCTGGGTTTGTGCATTATCCTCCCTTAGCATACTATATGCAGTTCCCTAGTCTTTAATAGCTGCCTCTTTGGAGGGTTGATTTTTTAAGTTTGGTCATAACAACATCGTTAACTTCATTTTTGTTATTTGTTTGTAAATAAAATGCAGTTGATTTTGTGTGTATGTACCTCTCAGTTAGTTTGAGTACAAGGCAAATCGTAGAAAATACAGGTCAGTGGCTGGAAAAAATTAACAGCTAAGAACAAAATATCATGGTGTTTTGTTTTAAATTCATGATTCTTTGGTACTGTATCACACATAGGTAATAGTATTACAGAAATATTTCCGTCGTTGGCATGCTACAAATATAGTACAAAAACTGGGGGAAGAAAAGAGATTAAGGCTGGAGTGGGAGGCACAAGAAGAATTACGGAGAAAAAAAGAAAAAGAAGAAAAACTGAGAAGGGAGCACGAGCGAAGACTGAACCCTAAAACAAAAGGAGACTTCGAGCTACTGTACCATGCTTTAGAATGTAAGTTTTTTCTTGAAGGGTTACTCTTAAATCAGCAAAATACAGTTTGTTTAAAACAGACATTTTTATGTGTTTCTATAGATATTTCCTTGATTTTTAGATTTTACTTACATTGGAATTTCATTTTTACATAACTATTTGACATTCATATATTATCAGAAGCAGAAAAAAAAGGCCTTGATGTTGTGTAAGCACTGTTCAACAGTAACTAAAACGTCCCTATATTATCAGCGTCCAGAACATAGCATCGTATAAGCTACTATGAAGAAAATTGACTCTGTCCCAGCCAAAACCAGTACATCTTTTTAGGAAATAACCAGCTTACAGAATAGTGTTATTTGGCTGTTCTATTATTGGGTTTTTTTTATTATTCATCTCTAATGATTCATCTAGAGGAACAGGAAATTTTATTTTTTTTTTTTGGATCAAGGTTATGTTAATATTTTTACTCTACATTTAAGATGCTGAAAATAATGGCATGAAGAAATACAGTATTGAGATCCATCATTTGTCGTTTAATAAAGGCATTTTTTATAATGGATTAAATTTTTGCCCATAATTTTGTAGCATATGACTGAGGTCATTCCTTTTGCCCTAGTCATCTTTTACAGATACTTTTTCTCCTTTCTAATTTATTCCATATTGCACAAAACTGTGTTGTCAAAATTTTAAAAATCTTGTTAGGAGTCCTACAGGGCATCCTGAAGGACTTCCTTTTCCTGTTGAGGTGGACGGTGTCTAGTACAGGCAAGCACCTCTAAACTTTCCTGGAAAAAATAAGGTGAATAATAATAATATGCAGAAAATTGACATAAAACCTTACAGGACAGTAATGTTGCAAAATGGGACAAAAAACCCTGTTTTTTGGGGAAAAATAAAGACAATAGAAATCGATGGACTTGTAGCAGCATATAGTGAAACTGCAAGAGTTCTTTTAAAAATGTCTCCTTTTAAGCAAGATGCTTGCATTGTGACTTGCAAGTAGCTTGTATATTATCTAAGCTACAGTGCTTGCTTATGGTATAACTCTGTGATTATTCGAACATTTTTGTCCCTATAGCAGAACTGACTTAATGGATTGCCTGATTTGCTGCAAAAGCCACCTGACCTACCTGAAATAATCTCAGCTGTTTTTTCCATGGTGAACTGAGCATTAATTTGGTGGCATTTGTTATTCATAGAGCTTAGGGTCCTAATTCAAGAACTCCCAAGTTATACATTACTCTTTTAATACTGTCATACTTGGGTCACTGAAAAAAATCACTTGGTCTAAGTGTAGAAATGGCTTGTAAATATTAGTGTTTGTGACAAATTTAAAATTATTACTGATCTTAAACTTTAGAATTTTGGGAATGGTATCTTTATGAGACTTGGGGATAGGGGTTGTTTTCCCTTTTTCTTCACAGATAGTTAGCTTTTCACTTCACAAGAACCAGTCTCTTTTAAGGTGTGTCTGATTAAGTAATCAAAAGCCAAGGCACTCAAATAGTTTTTTACTCTCCATCTGTGGCAAGTGCTAGTATTTGGTGTCTGATTTCCTGCAGTATTTTCTTTAATATGTTGTCAAATGTATGATCCACCTTTTTTTTTCTTAAGTGCAAAGAGTCTTATTTGCAATGGAAACAACAGAGCTGAGTTAGAGTTGCAAATTAGTGCTGGTGTTCCCAGTATTTTTAGATTTAGAATTTATAGTTACGTAAATGTCTCTTTTGCTTAATTTGATGTAACTGGATTCACAAATAGTAACCCTTTCAGCTATGCATGCTCAGGAATTTAATATCAGAGCAACCTGAAAAGGAATGTGCCACTCCAGAGCTGGAACAGAACAAACTCCAGTATTTGAAATGTCTTTTTAACATTTTCTTAAAAATAATGGTGTAGTATTAGTCTTTTTTGGTTTTGTTTACCTTTGTTGACTAGTTGCATCTGTACATGGAGACTTGCAGTCATGCTGTTTATTTTAATAGAGCTTAGTGGTTCTAGGAAGGTTCTTTTCCTACCTGCATCTGAAACTACTTTTACATTCTTATAGTGTCAACAGTCTACACAAGCTAAATCATTGTGACAGCAATAGAATGACACCATTGTCCTCCAGAGACCTGTGAAGGTTATTGCTGCTGATCTCAACAGGGAGATACTATTACAGGGTCAGCCAGCACAAGCAATTCCTGTTGGTACAAAAGCTTGCCTGCTGACAGTGTGGTGCAAATGAGATGTATCTATATGTTCAGTGGGTCTGCATATGGAGACATTAATTATTTATTTGAAAAGTATGAACTACTTTGTTCTGTGAAAATTGAAAAAAGTAATAAGTATAATCTCAGCCTACAGAACAGATAATCTAAGAGGAATGTTTTTAATTTGGTTGCATATATATGGTGAGTCAGGAGGTGAGTATTGATGATAACTGACAGCTTTTTCATTTCTGTACACACAAAGTTGCTTACTGTATTACCTCTGCCTTTGATGTTGCTGCCCCCTGCAGGCATATAAAACTTAATGTAAATTAATTCTGAAATGCTTTTGTTTGCTGAAATTACTTTATTTAAAAATATAGCTTTGGGTACTCAGAACTTGTCAGACAACTGTTGTATAAATACCAAAGCTTAGAGAGCCGTAAGGGAATGAATTGTAACATTTTAAAATGGAAAACATAAGGTATTGTAGATAAGCCACAGGCAGAAGCTAAACCTTCCTACTTTCCCTTCTGCATCTACTCTTACCTGATACAGTAAGTGTGCATCACATATTGGATTGTTTTCTTTAATGCTGGGATTTGCAAGATTTCAGGAATGTTGAATTTTTTTACATTATAAAATTTCCTACAGAGATCTAGAGATATTTGAAACAGAACAAATTTTTCAGAGAAGCCAAGAATTGTTACAGTGTATGCAAAGGAAAGCACTATTCAGGAAACACAATTTGATTTTACTAACAGATTTCTGTAACAGCATTCTGTGTATCACCAGTTATAGTCAAGAAATAGGTACTAGAAAATAAACTGTGATAGACACATATGTATACATTTGTATGTTTGTGTCATTAAGTAGTCTAGCTTGTAAGTGCAGCCGGTACCTGTGGTTTGGGGATTTGACCGTAAGAGTCAGAAGGCCAGATTCTGCACAGCAGATGCTGGTTCAAATGCTGCTGTGATGACCATCCTGTGGTTTGCATGTTACTTCCTTCCACCTTCTGTTGTAGAACAGGAAAGGGAAAGTAAAGCAAATACTGTCTAATTATTAATGCGCTTCCGTCTGCTTTAGATGGCAAAAGGTGATACCAGTGAAATATTCACTGTAAGACCTGGAGTGCTAAACGTGACTCTTTTATCTCTGTTTTGGAAGAGTTCAGCCTTCTTTAGATTTTACTCATTTATTCAGGGAGAAGCAGGAATAGTGGTGGACACACTAAACAGTAAGATGCTGAACTTAATCTGGTGAGAATATCTCTATGGTATCTTTTCTTCTGACTTTGATGAGCAATTGTTTAAAAAGTTCCTATTGCTTATGCCTTTTCCGTACATGTTTCCACAGTAGCTAAATTATTATTCTCACACAGAGCAGCTTTTTCTCCTAACCCATTTTCGAGTTTGCAGTATGAATTGGCAGTTTGGAATTGATGTACACACACATACTCTCACAGAACATCTGTATAATTTGCATTAATTTCTGGGCTATTTTGTGTGTGTTGGAAATATGCATTATAATCAATTCCCTAACATAGAAACTGGCTTTTAATGAACATTAAAAATTATGTTAATTCTTTAAATATGAAAACAGAACATTCCCTGGAAAGTACATTGTAAAAAGTACCCACAATATTTATATCTGTAGTATGGAGGCAGAAGGAGACTGAGCAGATTAACAGAACTCTTACTGGCGCTGAAAGAAAGGCAGCACTTTGTGGACTTCTGGAACAAGAGGCACAGCTGATTGCTTCCATTGGGAGACACAAACTAAATGCAGATGAGGAGAATCGACAGAAAGCAATACTGCATTTTCTGAATAAGGTCAGTGATGTAATTTTAGATTGAACATAAAAAATAAAAAAGTACAGGAACAGAAGAGACATCTGCAAACTACCTGCTAGAAGTAACTTTTGTAGCTTAACAGGTAATTATGTGGATGCTAATGTTATAAATATCCAAATTATCTAGTTGTTCAAGTGAATACAATTCAGTAAATTTCTTTTTCCAAACTGAGAATTTCCTAGCTCTGTGACTGATTGAAGGACTAATAGTGCATCATTAAGACAATTTAACTACCTGTGTCTGATATAATTCTCAGGTGTGTATATATAACATTAAAAAATAGCACTGAGTGAATGAATTCTGTATTATAGAATCATAGACTTATAGAATATTTAGGGTTAGAAAGGACCTTAAGATCATCTAGTTCCAACCCCCTGCCATGGGCAGGGACACCTCACACTAAACTATGCCACCCAAGGCTCTGTCCAACCTGGCCTTGAACACTGCCGGGGATGGAGCATTCACAACCTCCCTGGGCAACCCATTCCAGTGCCTCACCACCCGCACAATAAAGAGCTTCCTCCTTATATCCAATCTAAACTTCCCCTGTTTAAGTTTGAACCTGTTACCACTTGTTCTATCACTACAGTCCCTATTGAAGAGTCCCTCCCAGCATCCTTACAGACCCTCTTCATTAGGTAGTATTCTGCATAAAGAACATGCTTCAGATGGCACTCTTTACAGCATTAAAGGCTCTAATTCTAACAATTCAGAATGATCAATTTCCCTGTTGAGCACAGGCCTTTGGTCATCATATGTCTCTGTTTAAAGAAAGCATTTATTCTTTTTCCATGTACAGAGTAGAAAACCAAAAGAACTTTTGACTGAATCTTATATCATATTGAAGTCGATTATTAATTCACTAGTTTCAGATCCATTAGAACTTTAGCTTGAGGTCTTATTCTTGCATGATCATAAGGAAGAAATTTAAAACAAGTGTTCTTCAGGCTTTCATCTATAAAACAAAGAGCATTCATACACAAATATGATTTAGGCCTTTTTTAGGTAAACAACCCATCAATCCATCCCCTGGGAAAAAAAAAAATAGTTTATTTTCTGGCTGTTTTCATAGTGATGAAGAATGGGGTTGATTCAAGAACAGGGTTGATTCAAGAATGGGGTTGTAAATAGGTAACTTCTAGGACATTAGGCTTTGTTAGCAACTATAGAGATAAGGAAATGTCTAACATAAGCATTGTGCAACAACTGGCCAGAACCAGCCTGGTGGTTACTGACATGACAACAATCCTTAAATGAAGTGATGAAGAGGAAGATGATGAAGAAATAACCACTAGGGGTCCCAAAGCCCATTGCCACATATTAGTGTGCATGGGGGAGCAATTCTAGAAGTATGATGTAATGTATAAGTAACTCAATGAATATGTATGTAATCTAATGAATATATATGTTTAAAGACAATATAATCACAGCCTGGTTGATGCTCGGACCATACATGCTAGGAGGAGCTATTCACTGTGTCTCCCGGCGCTGTGATAAAGAATACCTGCTTGTCAGCTTAAACTTTGTTGGCGAGATCCTGGAGATTTCTCTGAATCAGTGATATAATTATGAAAAGAAATGCTGCAACAGAAATAGGTTTTTTATGGGGTTGGAGTTTTTTATTTTTTTTTTTTTTAATTTTGACCATTTAGTGCTCAAAAGTAAAATGGGAATTTTATCTAAAAAACCCCGCCCTGTTTTTCGTTCTTTTTATTACTGATGTGTGGGATCTGCACTGTAAAAAGTGTTTTGATGAAAGTACAAAACTAAATATTTAGGAATAAAAAAGGAATATTTAGGATATCAAAACCTTGAATGATTTCTATTATTCAGTAGACTAAATGTTAGTAACTAAATGTTTGCTTCCGCTATTTGCAATCTATTCTGTTATATTCTCAGAAAAAACAAATATATTTCTCTCTTAAATGAGTTTCTACCTTTATTTTTCCATTAAGGACTGCTTTCCAGTGCCCTACCCTGTATAGATTACTGCCAGTATATATTCTCACAAGCTTTTTTACATCTAGGAACCAGAAGCAAAATGCTGTTCAGTACCAGAATCCTTAGTGACAATTGATGTTTGGAGATCCTGGAGACACATGACAGACGAGATTTTCTCTCTTTCCAAGTAGTGGACATGTTTCTCAAGCACTTGCTACTAATTTTGTTTTTTCATTAAAGAAATTGCTTTCTTTTCAATTTGAAATCTCATGAGTTCTGAGCTACTGAATTTTTTTTCTTTTCATGTTTTTTTTTATGTCCGCTATAGGGCTTTAAGTGTTCTGAACTGTTGACATAGCAGCCTAATTCAGAGGTAGAGAAAGTAATTTCTGCATTTCTTAAAAAATAAGTAAAAAGAATTTTTAAAATCTGAAATGTATGGCTTGTTAGGACTGTAGCAGTGCAATTTAAAAACTTCAAACTGTAGTATAAATTCATTGTTGAAGTGCTAGGTTATAGATTATTCACTTACTTCTTGACCTTTGAGTTGATAATGTTAATCTGGACACTTGCCAGTTAAAGTAATACCTTTCACATCTGAAGTCTGCAAGCATTTCACTTTGCTGTGATATCCAGTGTGATATGAAACTTGCTTCTCCATGGAAACCTTCATTCGCTTCTTTGCTACTTTAAGCATGTACCTACTCATGCTTTTACAATGTTTGCTACTGGTTGTGTGTGAACTGCATTCTAGTTTGTTTTGGTTTGCTTTTTGCTGTGCTCATGCTTCTTCAGCATTTGTACTTTGAAGAGGAAGTACTTGATTAAGCTTCTATATAGCAATCATTTTCTTAAAGGAACTTGTGTAATTATTAACTGTCACTGAATTCACAACTGTCATGCTTTATGCTATTTCTCCACCCAATCTATGGATTGGATTTTTATTTTATTTTATTTTTTTACTTTTCTTACCTTTTTTTCTGTGCCTCTGATGGTGTGTTTCTCTCCTTAGGTGCTTTTTCTTTTCTGCTTTCATGCATTGCCAGCAGAGTGCAGTTTATAGCAATTTTGCTCTCTCAAGTAGTCCAGATAACAGGATTATTGTAAATTCTGCAGCACTGCCAGCAGACTAAAAGGGAAGAAAATGCTGGAAAAAAATATCAAAGTTTTAGTTTTCTCACATCAAGCTTGAATACATGATAATAGTACTAAAATTAGAGCGCCTGTGATTCTTTCTGAAATACTAGAAATCTTCATATTGATGAGACATCTGTATTTTTTTTTTTTTTCAGGAAAACACTGCATCTTTTTGTTTGTTTTTCAAATTATTTTACTTTATATAATACCGACTTACGATGAGGTAGTAATAAAAACTACAGAAGTTACAGGTATTTTATCTTCAAATAATTCAAAGTTTATAATAATGTAGTTGGTCTGTGTTAAGGATCATTTGCAGAGTGGAATACCAAGCCTGTTGGCTCATATATGGGTTGTTACAAATTTATCAGGGGAACCAAGTTTTAATAACCACTTCCTGGGGGAAACTCTGCCCATTGACTCACCTTAGCATAAGCAGGTGAACTTCCTGTCATGTAGTAAGTGTTTTCATTGAAGAAGATCAAATGCAGGTAGTGAATTAATTATTCTAAAGGAAAAGGTAATTTTTGGCAGTCTGCCATATGAAGGAGTTACAGCGTGAAACAGCTTCTAAGTGTTGGTGGTTTGGGTTTTTTTGTTTGCTTGGTTTGGTTTGGGGTTTTTTTTGGAATTGTTAGTGCTGTTCAGAGATAGTGAAACAGTCATAAAGTAGAATGCTCACTTTTTGCTGACATGGAGAAAATCGCCTCTTTCTGGTTTTGCAGAAGGTCAAAAATGTCAGTTACTCAATGTTAAATCCTTTTTCTTTTCCCCCAATTATTCTGTCTTTCTTTTGCTTCTGTAACTTTATAATTTATTTATTTAAAAGTGAGGGAAGCTCTGTTTTGGTTGTGTTGGTGACTAAACGTCTATTCTACCTAATATTCTTTCCATTCTTATGGCTTATCACCATAGCAAGTGTGTGTATTTGGTTAAAATAATGATTATGTAAATGCTGTGGTCATATCTGGAAAACTATTAGTCATGTGAATGCTGCAAGAAGTGTTGCTGTAGTTAACTCACACTGAGACTGCAAAGTGAAGGTCACAAGCTTTCGTGAGCTGTCAAGTTCCAGATAAAGTGAAAGAGAATAATTAATACACAGAATGAGGTTCCAAAGAGCTGTCCCAGTTAAGGAAAGGGAGTGGAGTTAGGTCATGACAGGGAGAGGGTTTTGAATACTTGTCTTTCTATAGGATTTAAACACCTACATCCCTGTGTAACATCATGGTTTGCAACCAAATCCAGTCTTCTTAAAAGGGGTGAATAGTTGGACTCTTCAAACTGATTGGGGCAGCTGACACTGTGTAACTTCTGATGTCTATAGAAGTTAGAGAAACAATTGAAGTGGTAGCGGTAAGGTATGTGGTTAAGTTAGCAAACAAGAAGCTTGGTGAAGTTATTTGATAAGCTGTAACTCCTTTGCCTTAGTCATCTTTAACAAAGTCTTTGCTAATACCTCATATCTGTCTGTATAGCTAGCATAAATAGAACAGTTCTCTGGAGATATTTTGTACTGCAGTAACTCTAAGGCCTTAAATTTGCAATCTTTACACTATCAACAGTCCCATTGATTTTTACTGATAGTTTAGAGGGATTTATGAAGGCAAGATGAACTACAGAGCAAATGTATTTTAACGCTACTGTCAGTAAATTTGCTTTAGAGAAGTAGAGCATATCCCTGTAGGAGAATATTGTTTACTTTTAATATACTGTAAGTCCAAATTTTCAGGACCTACAACTTTAAAAAAAGTGTGCAACTGAATACTTGCTCTAGGAAAAAGAAAATATAAATATCAACAGTGGAATTAGACTTTCGTATTAGTCAAGCATTAATGCTAAGTCCGTATTTACTCTGGTGAACCTTGATGTAAAGTAATGCACTTGTTAACTGGTGATCAGATTATAAGAGCTCAGTTATGCAAACTGTTTCTGAAGTGTGCGCAACCTAAGAGATGGAAAGCATATGATGGAAAAATCACTGAAATGGATACACAGTTCACACTCCGTGCCAGAGAACTGTTGGAAATCTACCGCAGCATTAGCATGAGTGACGTCCCACAAGATGAGAGAATAGATGTGCTACTGACACTCAAAGGTACAGTGAAGGTATGTCTTATTTTTCTGTTTGTGTTTAGCTTGAAGCAGTACTTCCCAAAGGTACAATCAGTTGTGTTGACACATAAGCAGTGCTTCTTCTGGCAGACAGGTGCCAGGATGATCAACTGGCAACATGAGAAAGCCTCCTGTACCGTCTGGTGTGACAGTAATTTACATTCCAGATATACCTTAAATTCATATGTCATTTTGTGATGTGCACATTTTTCTTGAAGTTGTGTTAGAATTTTAACCCCATGGTTTTCGAATGTTTGTATATTGGCACATAATAGAGCTTTAGTGCAAAGTTTAGCTTAACGTTTGTAACAACTTGATGAAAACCATGGCAGAGTTGTAAGTGGCTGTTAGTATTTTTTCAGGGTTCTTTGAAATGTCTGTTTAGAACCTCATCTTTCTGTTTGTTTAGGTTACCAGCTTTATGGGCATCAAATAGTTTTGGTTTGTTTTGGTTATTTCCTTTATCCCTTATTCTAGGATTCTATTCTATGATTCTATTCTCCGCCCCCATTGCTGCTGCCAGTGTTCCCAGTGAATCAGAAGCTGGTTGCATTTATTTCAGCCTTTTGTATTTGTTTGATATATGTATTCATAGAATCATAGAATCATAGAATAGTTAGGGTTGGAAAGGACCTTAAGATCATCAAGCTCCAACCCCCCTGCCATGGGCAGGGACACCTCGCTCTAAACCATATTACCCAAGGCCTCGTCCAGACTGGCCTAGAACACTGCCAGGGATGGAGCATTCACAGCCTCCCTGGACAGCCTATTCCAGTGCCTCACCACCCTAACAGGAAAGCATTTCCTCCTTATATCCAATCTAAACTTCCCCTGTTTAAGTTTTAACACATTACCCCTTGTCCTATCACTGCAGTCCCTAATGAAGAGTCCATCCCCAGCATCCCTGTAGGCCCCCTTCAGATACTGGAAGGCTGCTATGCTTCTGGACACTGATCTCCCCCTGCTCTGGTGTTCAAGGCGTCCTATCTCGAGCTACTCACCTCAGCAATTGACCATTATTCATGTACAAAAAGAATATTAGGAATTTCAAACTACTTTCAGGATACTCATTGACTTGTCGATGTCAAACTAGAAGAGACTGTTCCTTCCTGGTCAAACACTGTTTGTACCAGAATTTGATTTAAAGCCCATATAGCACTGGTGGGAGCACTGCTGGTTTATAAACTCATAGAATCATAGAATAGTTAGGGTTGGAAAGGACCTTAAGATCATCAAGTTCCAACCCCCCTGCCATGGGCAGGGACACCTCGCTCTAAACCATATCATCCAAGGCTCTGTCCAACCTGGCCTTGAACACTGTCAGGGATGGAGCATTCACAACTTCCCTGGGCAACCTATTCCAGTGCCTCGACACCCTAACAGGAGACAATTCCCTCCTTATATCCAATCTAAACTTCCCCTGTTTAAGTTTTAACCCATTACCCCTTGTCCTGTCACTACAGTCCCTAATGAAGAGTCCGTCCCCTGCATCCCTATATGCCCCCTTCAGATACTGGAAGGCTGCTATGAGGTTTCCACGCAGCCTTCTCTTCTCCAGGCTGAACAGCCCCACCTTTCTCAGCCGATCTTCATATAGGAGGTGCTCCAGTCCCCTGATCATTCTTGTGGCCCTCCTCTGGACTTGTTCCAACAGTTCCATGTCCTTTTTATGTTGAGGACACCAGAACTGCACACAATACTCCAAGTGAGGTCTCACAAGCCCATCTTAATACAAGTCAGTAGTGATGTTGGCATTTTTTTAAACCACCTACTGTGTATATACACTGTATCTCCTCTCCTATTTCCTATCCTGTTCAAAGGAACCTCCTTTGGGAGATACTTCTTGGCTTTATGGAGACTAAAAATTTTGCATGTTGTGTGCCTCTGCTTAGCATTTTTTTAATGCCTCCAGGTTTATGGTTCCTTACAGCTTTGGCCATATATACAGGCCACCTTAAAGCAGAATCTGTAAGCATGTTCAGTTTTGTGGTTCTTTATATTAGTTTTCTTGGAGGTTGTTTCCCTAAGACACTAAGGAGTTCTTCTATGATCATGTTCTTGTGTGAACATGGAGAGGTATGAATGATCATTGGCATAGAATCCATAGTTTGCTTTCATATCTACATTAGAATTATTTGGTTTGCTTCCTTGCTGTTGTGTTTTGTTTTCCATTTTGTTTGTGATTTTTTTTTTCCAGGAACATGAATGTAAATTAACACAGGAAATCATGGAATTAATTGACAGGGAAATTGATCTTATGTCAAGAGAGGTGAAAGAATGTAACTTGGAAGGACTAAGGAAAAGAATTTGTACGTTATTTCTTCAGTTTATTAAAATTCCGAAGTTTAACCCTGAAGTTGCTAAGATACTTAAGGTATTATTCCTATTTTGCAGTCTGACATAATGCCCATTGAACTAAGGATGGTGGAGAAGGGGAATGGAAAGCTGTTTTTTTTTACCCTTTGCTGTAAAATTGCTAGAGGATTTCTTCAAGAAATAAAATGTAGGAAGTACACAGGCTTCGCATAAGTAAGCTTAAATAGCCATATAGGAAGCATGGGGCATAGATATGGGTGTAAGTACCTGACAGGTGGTTGGTAGTACTGAGAGAGCCCAGGAACTCTATGTATGAAATAAAAATTCTGAGAATTATAAATGGTAAATCTTGGGATGGTAACAGGAAAATGTAATAGCAAATGGGGAACAAATAGAGAGAGTGATTATCTTCTTTCCACTGGACAAGGGCAGCATCCCTTCCAGAAAGGAAGAATGTTGACGTTGTCAAAGTTATGTCTAATGAGCTTGCACCTAAGCAAGAGTTGTTCCGAGCTTCTGTTGTACAGCCAGTTGCTACGTCATGGTAAGAAGATAGATGGGTAGTGGAGAAAGTGGTAGACACCTTTCCAGGTGTGTGATTGTTTTTATTTCTGACTACATGTTACAATTAAAAATATGATTCACTACCAGAGATTGCTGCTTTAGGCACCAAGATGTGTTTTGCATCTGTCAGAAGAGTATTCTTCTTACAGTGGGTGATGGTATCTCAGAGGTAAAGTATCTGTCAGTAAAAGTTAATCAGATTTAGAACCAACGGACAGTTATTTTACACTAGGTTTATGCACAGAGTTACCTAAATGTGTCATAGCAGAGACTGGATATGGGGGATCTTTGTCTTCTATTGCATTTGGTTGGCTGTACACTGAGTTGAAGTCTGAATTGCATCTTTTTTCTATTTGAATCTTGTAACCTTGTGTGGACCATAAAAGAGATGGGAGTTCATCAATAGACAGTCAGTAAAGTGACCAAATCCTCAGGTTATTTTAAAAAAAGGGCAGATGACCTCAATAGGTAGCTGGATTATAAGGCTGCTGAAACTATCCAATTACAGACTTGGGCCCTCTGCACAGACTGCATTATATTTTTTCCAGAACCCATGAAGCAATATGAGATGAGGAAGTCATTAGCAAGTTTAGCTTATTATTTTCCCCATGTTGTTTTTGGCTCTGATGACTTTATATTCTTATGCCGAAATATTAATATGCACATAATCACAGGGATTTATCTTTGACATAAAGGGCAGATTCTATATGAAAAATTAAATACAGAAGGTTTAGTTTCTGTTTTCTCTGTGGTATTGTCTTTCCAGAATGGCTGACAATCTGCTTACACAATAGTCAGCAAGAGCACTGGAGCTTAATGTCTAGGATTGTCAATAGCTTAAAAATGAATTGGCTGATTTATATAACTGATTTTAACAAGTGAAGTAAAATACAGTGGCTTTCGGTCTTTATTAAAAACAAACCTATTGGGTATGTTATAATAACTATTTCTAGCTTTCACATTCTCAAATACTTGCATGAATATCTGTACAATGTATTCTGACAGAGTTAGGGTAACACACAAGTGATACAAAGGTACTTTGTGGTAAATTAACTTTTTTAAAAATCTTTTTAGGTTCCACCAGATCCCTTAAAGCTTTATAAAAACATGAACTGCTGTCAGAGTTGCAAAAATTACTTACCGTCTACTGCGTTTCCTGTTCCTGCTAATACCCACACTACTGGCAGATGTCGCTTGTGTTGTAAGGTTGATAATGAGGCTCGGCACCGAGAAACGTTTTTGAAGTGCAAACTTATACTAGAAAAGCTCAGAAAGTCTGAAGCTGATTATCAGGATGATGCTAAAATTGTTTTCTTACTTCAGGTACTGTCTAAAAGAGCATTGCTAATAAAACCAATGGCTCTGACTGTAATTTTTCCTTTATTTTGTGTATGTTGTTGACAGGTTGAGAATTTAGATTAAGAGCTACAAAGCTTCTTCCTGTGACAGGGAATGTTACATACCATAAAGAAGCAGCACTTAAGCTTTTGAAGTGTAGCTGTAATTTCAAAAGTGATTACAAGCTGTACATCACAAGAAGGTAGAAGTCTACCTGACAAGGTCAAAGAAGGGGGTGACCCAAATTCTTCTTCTGGTTCTCCCATGGCCATCCTGTTGCTTAAAGATACTACCACCATCTGCAAAGTGATAGTAATGTTTTTGTAATTATAATATCCTTCAAGACATAATGCTAGTAAAACATTTTGAGCCCCATTATTTAGACTGGTTTAGTAATACAAATAAATTGTTGTGTATTCTCAGGAGGAAAAGATAAAGAAACCGAGGGTTTGACATATCTGTTATATCTCAGTAGAATGTCTGTTAGAGGTTTTACTCTTTTGCATTTATTAGGAGAGGATTTAGCACTTTGCCAATGGCAGTTGCCAAGAGGAAGATTGGGATTCTTTAATTACCATGCCTGTATAAAGAAATATTATCAAAGAACCTGGATTTTGTAGAAGTTTTTCGTTCATGTTGTTTTCGCTTAGGCTGGGAATTTTTTTGTTTGTTTCTCACTTAGTTCATTTAATATGTAAACATTCTCCAAGTCACTTGTGATAGCTGGTGGCCGTTGGTACACTGGAATATAACTGCTTCTTAACTTCTGACACTGAAGGCCCTCACATGCAATTCCATTAGTGGTTGTACCCCTGCAGCATCTCTAGATACTGTGTCATTTTCATTCAAATTAACTATTTTCTTTAGAGTTGTAAATATCTAAACAGGTGTTTGTACCTTAAAATCACTGATTTCCTTGTTTTTTTTCCTAACATTTCCTTATATTTTTTTTTAATGAGCTACTTGCTTGTATTCTCCCTTCCCGTCCCAACAGCCACCTGTCCCCTTCTGCACTTATATGCAGAAAACAGCTCTGGGGCATCTAGAAATGACTTGGGCACAACTAAAAATATTTTGCCTGAGCTGTGACAGCTTCATTCATTGCTCAGTAAAGTCCCCATTACTGGCTGTGGTTGTATTGTGGATGGATGCAAGACCTTTCTGATAAGATAAAAGATTTTTCTTGAGATCTCCTGGTTTTAATTGTGTTTGGATTGACCACCTATGTGAGCGCTGCTGAGGCTTAAAAGGCTAAAAACATTATGTGAGAGTTATGGTACCTCCAGTAAGTTCTGGTTACCGCAGCTAAAGACCTTTTTCATATCAAAATGAACTTGTTCAGCAAATATGTCAAGTCCTGAGACTGCTTTTTATTCTTTCAGAGGATCTAACTATGCCATACTCCTTAGAATTGGCGGCACATGCTATGGCTTTGAGTTATCTTGATGAGCAACATCCTGATGGCAATGTTGTATTCATTTGAAGCTACACATACACCCAACTCCTTTACTGGTTTGCTGCTTATCCTTGTTTCCTAGTCTCATGTGCTGAGCATTTGATGATGCCTGCTCCCAACCTGTTCGATGACAGTACTCAAAGGCTGTTTCTGTTTCTTGTGAGCACAGAACAAATTGAGGGGAGGAGCATAATTTGAAATTAATTAAAATTTCATGGAAAAATGTGTGCCTACCTTTAGGATGTGCAGAAGTTGTCTCTTAAATCAAACTCTTCCCCATAACCTGAGAAGTTTTAACAGAATACAAGCTTTTGCTTATTTTTCAGGTAGAAAAAATAATTGTAATCCAGAAAAAATCAAATTATAGATCTGTTTTACATGGGCCTTTATATACCTCCGTATAGATTTTTGCAAGTTCAGGTAGCTTTGAGATGTGTAGCTAGTAGTAGTACTTGCTAATATGTCTGCTTGCAAATTTCTGGCTTCTAAGAGGAAGATACAGAAATTATTAGAAATTCTCTGAAAAGGAGGAAATGCTGAAAACAGAGGAGAGTTAGTGAAACCTAATAAAGGAGTCTCTGTAGGACCACTTTTAAGACTAGATTTAGGACTAGGCCTATATTCTTGAAATCAGATCTATTACCACTGCAGGTTCTAAGCATCACTTTTATGTTACATTTTCCTTGGCAAGAATTTTCACAGGCTCCTAGATTCTGGAAGCAAGATGGATAAGTATACATTAATCTGCATTTCACTAAAGCACTGTGTTTTTATAGTTTCATTCATCCTTTGTCAGGAATTTCATAAGTAACATGTAAACACCATTATTTAATTAGGTCAAGATTTCTTTTTTTAGAGGAATGAGTCTTTACATGGGTAGCTTGGAGGAAAACCTTTTTAAAAATCTGTTTTTTATTGACTGTCTAGATAAAACTCCTCTAATGGAGGGTGACAGAAAAACCTGCCAGAGTGGTAATTGCTGTCCCAATTACTATTTTTTTTCTTTCATTCAAGAGGTTGTGCTTATCAAGATTTAGTAGTGATTTCAGATGGCTGATAATAAATTAAACAAATTAAGATTGATGTAAATTAACCTTAGACCTAGGTTAAAAGTACATTTTAAAGTCTTTCTATACTGGGAAACCTTTACAAACAGACCTCCTGTTATTTATTGCTAATATTGTATCATAGCAACCTCGTCTTTAATCTCATTTGGTAAAATGAGCAATGGTATCATGAGCGCAATAAACTCTCCATATGTCAGCAGCAGAGCGAGAGGTAGAAGGCAAAGTAGGCAGTGATTTGGAGTCTGTCACAGGTGGAAGTTTTTCTTGTCCTAATTTCCCACATTTTCTGATTGTATATAGACTTTAAGTAATTTAGTACTGTAATAACTCATTTATCAAATAGCATTAATTATTAATCAAAAAATGAAATGGGGAAGTCATCTCAGTAATGGCGGAGATGGATTATTATTATCCAAAAAGTTCTGAACAGGCTTAAGCATGCTCAATGATGAAAAAAACAACATGAGATTTAGGAAGCTTTTTAAGAGTGGTTAAGCAATCAGCATGTTAGTGGAAGATATGAGTTACCATTGGCAGGAAAAATCAAAGTAAGAATGTAGTATTTTAGAGGTGATACAAGAAAAATGCAGTTAATAATTGCCAAACCATGCTAAAGGAAGAGGCGTATGTCTGGATGTTCTTTAACCAAGTGATTATATGAAATACACATAGAAAATTTTTTACTCAAAGTTTTATTTGGATTCTTATATGGTTACAGTGCTTTTGTTGGAGAATGAAACATGCTTCTTCCTTCTGAACCATGTTTTCCATTTCAGCATCAAGATCTGCAATACCTGATTGAGAAAATATGGGGCTGTCAGTCAGCTCTCAGTGCCTGCAGTGACCTCTATGATTTGGTTATGGTCAGGTGGGATAAGCAGCATGAATGGTCTCCATGGAACACTATTCTTCTCACTGAAGATGAGGCAGATGCACATCTTAAACTATGTGACCTTCAGAAGGTAAAATTTGATGAGCTTAACTTTTTACAATAGTTATGTTTTAATGGAATTCTGTGACTAATTATGTTTGGCCAAATTTAGTGCTTACACTCATCCATGTTTAAATTGACCCACTGTGACTATTTAAATGATTACATTTGTATAATTAAATAAGACAGACACTAGTCTAGAGGGCAGCTGACATGTGCAACTCGTATCCATGTACCTGAACCATCTCTTGTCCTTATTATCCCTCCTGAAATGCAAGAAACTAAGTGACCTCATCCAGGCTGCCTGCTGATGAAAATGCTGTGTCTATGCTCTTTCACCCAGCTGAGATCAGACAAGAACTGGCCTGAATAAAAAACTTACTAAAAACTAACCATAAATAATACAACAGTTTTGTGCCTGTGCTCTTGCACATGCTTGAGCCTCATTAGTTTTTGGCCTTACACATTTCTCATCAAATAACAGTATGACACTTTGTTTAGAACTTAGTCCTTAGTCATAATAGAATTTGTCTCAATTTACTTTCTTACATAGATGTAATTTAAGTACCCCTGACAATGTAATCTTTTTGCAATTAAGCAGTAAAAACGTAATTGCTGTTCTGAGTTAAAAAACTTAAGAATGTGTTAAAAGTTGTCATTGGAACTGTGTTTTTACACCACTCCCTTCAAAGTCCGTATCTAAACATGGTGAACAATTCTGATTATGCACTGATCTGGTTTAACTTTGTAAGTCTGGATGTCATAGTCAAAGAGATGTCATTGACTTAGGTCCAGAGCTTCAGTGGAGGTGGAAGTTAGGCCAGAAGAGCAACAGGTGGGGTATGCAAGCCTACTTAAAATCATAAGTTATTTTCCCTTAGCTCTTGCTACAAAAAGGGGAGCCAGCTTTCTTCACTGGTAATGGCCAAAGCTTTGTTTCAACAAAAACTGTGTGTGAAATAAAGAAAATGAGGCAAAGTTAGAATGCTGTGAGTTGAATCATTATTTCTTCTTCACTGAAACAAAAGAAGAGGCCTCTCAAGCACTTTATTTAATAGCAATTGTTCATAATGATGACTAAAGTGATAGCAAAGATTTTTTTCAGCTAATTAATCTGTTTATTTATGATTATCTGTAAATAATTGCTTCATTTTTATCAAGGAAATTTTCTGAAGTCATCACCTTGCAAATGTTGATATTGAAGTATTGCCTTTTTTAATTTTCAAAGCCAAGTATGAATGTTCTTACCTGAAAATAAATAAATTTTATCTTGTACAGATAAAAAAATGCCAGAAGTTTTTTTGTTTGTAAAAGTTGACTAATATTACTTAAGGAGTGCTTAGTAATTTTCACCCCTGGACTATAAGGTAGCAGTGTAGGACTGCAAAGTATTTCATTATGTATCATATACAGATAAATTATTTGTGTTAGTTCATTAAAGGGTCACTATTTATGCTGTCTGAAATATGAAGCAACATGTAGATTGCTAGATATTTTAATTGTATTTAATGGGATTTGGATTTTTTTCCTTTCAGGCGTATGAAGCGACATTTATTCACAGAATAAAGCATAAGCATATCTGGGCAAAAAAATACTTTGCTCAGATTCAAGCCATGACATCATTTTTGCAGAGGAGTGAAAATCAGACAAATGCAAATGAATTTTTAATAGCTACGCCTTTTCCTACTGTGCAAAACCATAACTCTTAGGTGAAGCTAGCTGAAGTTAAAGAAGTTAACTGAATTATTGATTAATACAGTTTCCTTGGTTTTAAAGAAATGTACTGTTTCAATACCTTAATTATATCACACAGATCAAAATAAACTGAGGATAAAATAATTTGATCTTGACTAGTCAATAAAACTGTATTTCATGTTTTGTAATCTCAGTTAAAAACTAAAATGTTGTTGAGTTTTGTAAATTCTGATTTTTTTAAGCAATTGACTGTCTTTCTGTGTTTGCCTGTCTTGCTTGGAACATTCTGTCTGTGTTGGGGGAACTTAGCTAATTCTTTGTCACCTTTTATCTAGAAAAATAATCCTACAAACTATTAAATTTCTCTCAAGTATACAAGGTAGAAAATCCTTTAAACCCTGAATTCCTGCAGAACAACAGAATTGATATGGCCTTCCAAATATAGATGCTTTGCCTTACAAAGATTTGGGCAAAATAATAACTTTATAGTTCATCTTGATGGTGAGAGTGGAACTGCCAGCCTGTAATTACTGTATCTGAGATCTTGAAATTAGTGTAAATCAGACTGACAATTTGAAATAGACAATGCAGGCTGTTTGGAACATGATTATTTTTGAGAAGCTTCTGTTAATTAAAGTAGAGGTCAATTTATCTAGAAACTTAGTTGTGTTTGATTACAGTTACAGAGAAAAAGACGATATCGTGTACATTGAATAATGTCCTACAGAAAGTTGCATAGTTCTGCTTGAAATCTCTGTTCTAGACATGGTTTTGACCGAGGAAAAAGCCTTTTGCTCTGTCTAAAAAAACCCAGTAGCATTTATAAACAGAAGTAAGCATATATTTCGAAACAAGCAGCTGAAAACTGGGTAGACTCACAACAGAATATGCATGAACTGTAGAACCAGTACCTGACTGATGAGTGCATTCTAACATCAGTGGAGTCTTTCAGTTAAATTTACTATTAAACTCAGATTCTAGACTTTAGTTCTGTACTGAGCTAGTTGTAGAACTGCAGGACATGATCTTCTCAGTTTACTTAAGTGCTCTTCAGGATCTGAGCCTTTAGGTAGGAATGGCTGCTAAAACTGGGCTTCCTCCAAAGTGATAAAAGGGATTTTGAAGAAAATTATTTGAATGGCGCGAAGGAAAACATGAATCACATAGATAGTAACCTACCTCCTTAAAAATTTGTTCCCTTTCTTTTTAAATCGCTTTAAAGATATGTACTGATCCCAGAAGAGCAATTTCAATAAACAGTAAGGCAATAGTACAAACCAATGTGAAAAGCCACTAGTCCCTTGATTTCAGTGCCATGTGATGTTGGAGATTTTTCGAGTTTTAGGCTCCTTTAGGTTGGAAAGGACCTTTAGTAACATTGAGTCCAAACTTTAACCTAATGCTATCCAGCCCACCAGTAAACCATGTCTGGAAGTGTCACATCTGCACCTATGCCTATAGGTGGCACCTATCCTAATATCCAGTCTAAACCTCCTCTGGTGCAATTTGAGGCTGTTTCCTCTTGTTCTATCACTTGTTACTTCAGAGAAGATTCTGATGCCCACCTGTCTGTAACCTCCCTTCAGGTAAGTTGTACAGAGTGGTAAGGTCCCCCCTGAGCCTTCTCTTCTGCAGGCTAAACAACCCCACTTCGCTTAGCTGCTCCTCAGAGGACTTGTGCTCTAGACCATTCACCAGCTTCACTGCTCTTCTCTGGACACGCTCCAGCAGCTCAGTGTTTTTTCCTATAGTAAGTGGCCCAAAACTGAACACAGGATTCAAGGTGCAGCTTTACCAGTGCGGAGTACAGGGGGATGATCACTGCCCTGGCCCTGCTGGCCACACTATTTCTAATACAGGCCAGAATGCTATTTGCCTTCTTGGCCTCTGGGGCATAAGCTGGTTTATGTTCAGCTGCTGTCGACCAACATCCCCAGATCCTTTTCTGCTGAGCAGATTTCCAGCCACTCTTCTCCAAACCTGCATGGGATTGTTATGATGCAAGTGCAGGACCCAGCACTTTGTCTTGTTGAAGAATTGGTCTCATCCTCTTGTTACTGAATTTAAAACAAATATTTTTCCCCTTTTTATACATAGCATTTATAATTGTGTTTTGAAAAAGAATGAATTTAAAATAGCTACTGTTCTGATTGAAAAGATGAGAGTAAAGGTAAAGATACTGCATTTCTAGAAGTCATTGCATTTTATCAGGAGAAGAAAACTGTTCAGATAAAGGTTCAGATCTGCCAATTTCTATTAAAACTAAGTATTTAAATGTACACCTGATCATCTTTGCTTGAGTTTTAGAGTTATACACACGATGGTTTTGGAATCTCTTGGTAAAAAGGCCTCTGCTTTGGAGCCTAGTTCTTTCCAGGGTAATGAGGACAAATGGTTGCAAGGTGTCAGTGCCTCTTCAAAGGAGAATAGACTATAAGGTGAAATTCTAACCTTTTCACTTCTGGGAAGTGGCTAATGTGATATGCTTATAAAGTCTCTCAAATAGTGGTTTAGAAGTTGGGACCATGAGGAATGCATGTTTCTGAAGCACTGGTGAAAGTGCTGGGTTTGCCTCAGTTGTTTCCTGGAGGTACATATTCACTACCAGCAAAAGGTTATTGGGCCACATGGCTTATACTTCTCTTTCTGCACTAGCAGAGACGCGTGGTCAAGTAACACCTGCACTTTACCTCACAAGACTCTTCTGTGAGCAGGACTCTTAAGTTTGAAGCAAAAATTGCCATCTGCCCGCCTCCAACACCACTGCTAATCCGTTTTAGAGGGAAAAGTTCTGGCTTTCCTTCCACATGCAAAAGTGGGTAATACGTTCATTAGGCAAAGCAGCACGTGCATTTTACCTCTGAACTCCCAAGAGGAAAGTCCATGTGTTTTCCAGGATATAAATTTCCCTATTTGTGTCTTAAAAGAAGAACTCAGAGTAATTTGCATAAATCAAATAAAAATCACGTCTTTTCCCCCAGAAGATGTCCTGATGAGTGAAGTATTAATTGCCTTCTTAGATAATAAAGTGATTATAACAAAGGATAAAGCAGGATTATAAATTAAATATGTGAGGGTAGCAAAGAAGCTGCTGACCAGTTTTTGGTATATGCAAAATATTTTTTCAGAAGGAAATGATACTAATAGTAGTTGGGATTAAAAAAAAAAAAAAATCCAAATTTTGGATCCTTTTAGGTTGGTTGTTTTGTGTTTTTTTTTTTTTTAAAGAACGTAAATTTGAGTATGCCTGTTATCTGAGCTGGAGGAAAAAGTGTTTTAGTATACTGCTGTTAGCACCCAAACCCATTGCTCAAGGGTCAAATTTGCATGCAAAATGGATGGCACTTATTTTTGTCACCTATATGTAGAGAGTTCTTCTGGCTTACCTTGCACTGTAAATTGTCCTTGTTATGATAGTCATCCCGTTTAGCCTGACTTACAGTCTTAAATTTACATCATCCCACACAAATGTGGCATTCACGCTTCTTTTTATTTAAATTTTTTTAAATTGGGAATGTGGAATTCTGAAGTTGGGAGGATTTTTTTTTTTCCTTTGGTTTGTTTTGGTTTGTTTTGAAAAAGAGGATTCATAAGCAAAAGAAGTTAAGCCTCCATTATCTTGGTCTTTGCTCTCCAGTTATTTTTGATGAGTCCTGTATTTCAACTTTGACAGGATAAGAAATACATAGGGTATGTGATAGGCGTACAATTATAAAAGAAAGCATTTATAATTCCAGAGAAATGGGTAGGAGTAGAATGTAAATACATGGTATGTCAATATTATAGCTTCTTTTAAAATTATTTTAGTTATATGGTAATAGAGGTATATTTTTCTTCATCACAGTTTCATAATGTTTTCACAGTATTCTGAGTTTCAGTTTCTTGAATTCAAAAAGAATCTTCATGTGCAAGCAGTTCTAAACCTGGACTCAAGATCAGCTATGGGCTTTAAAGGGAAAAGCCCTATGGAAAATGCAACCGTAAACTTTTTGTGCTTTTGTGTATACCAACAGACACAATCGAGTGGTTTAGGTTCCTCTGTTATCACAGATAAGAGAACCACTGTGATCTCATTTTAATCGAATGAAATAAGGAACCTTTTTGAAAAATTTCTCTGCGCTGTGTATCTTTTTTTCTTATCATTTGGCAAAAAAATATTTTTAGGATGGAAAAAAATGCAAAAGGAGAAAATGCATGCAGATGCATTTGAGAGCCAAATTTGCAAAGGGAGGCAAACTGACATCCCACTGGTTCTTCCATTCCTTTTTTTCAAAGCTTTTTTCACTTCAGTTGTTGCCAGACTATGGTTTGTGAAGAAATATTAAAAAGGAAAATTCAGTTTGTTTTCAGTTAAAAGTTTGATCATAAGTAATATGGTGATCTGAGAGAAAACAATGTGGTTTTGTTTCAGAAAGTTTTAAGACTGTTTCCGTAAGGCAGAATACAGAGCATACCCACAATCTGCTCCATCTCACTTGTACGTAGTTTGGTTAGTGTGTGCAAATGCCCTCCAAACGATCGAGCCCAAACAGGCGATAATCTAGATTTTGGGATATTACCAGCTGGAAAGAGATAGGGACAATATACCTTTATTTCATAATTGTCTTCCTTGTATTAGCTTCTCTTTTGTTTTCATTAGCCTACTTTGTAAGCCATTTTGAATTTAAGAAGCCAGGAATCTCTTACATGACTTAGGGTTTTTGTCCAGGGTGTCAGCATTTGAGTACAAACTTATAAAAGAAGTTGCACACACCAGCAGTGGAATTTTTGAAATTGTGAAAATGCTTTAGCCTAAGGAAAATGTTCCATAATAATAGAGTCGAGCACTTATCACCCATTTAAAAAGTATAAAATTTCCAGTTATTTATTAGTAAATCATTTGCTCTTGTAGTGAGGTTCCTGTCAGTTTACAGCATGTATTTGTACAACACTATGTATTTGTTTGGTCTTGATTTCAGTACGTTCAGATCAGATTGTGAAGGTTTAATTTGACATGGAATGCCTGGCAGGGTTGGTCATATTTATTAACTGTATTAGTTATGGAGGAGACCCATTAGAACTTACTCTTCATTGATTCCTGTTAGAAGCATAGTAAGATATATTGCTTTCTTGCTGTTTTGCAAAACAAGGATCTCTGCACTGTGCTAGCTAAAGCATGAAAGGAATCACAATCTGAGAAAGCACGGTCTTAGTTGAATAAAACTATTAGTAATTATTTCTCCAGACTGCCAACTGCAATGCAAATCTAGTCGGTTCTGCAAAACTGAGACTTTAGCTGGGAGTTCTGTGGTTCCTTTATTATTCTGTGGGCAACCATATTGAGGACTCGTGATTTACATAATGCTGACCTTCAGTTCATCTTCATTTCTTATATAAAGGGTAATTGTAAGAAGCAGACAGGAAGACTTACTGTGGATTAGCTTTGTGGGTAGGAAATGCTCACAAAACCTGGCAAGACTATTCCGGACAACTACATGAGAAAGCAGATCTCTCACGGTCTGGAAGATACCATGGAAAAGTCAAGCACTTTGAGAATTACAAAGTATTTTGCTTGTGTTGATGGAGCTATTCCAATTCATACAAAATTCTCCCTAGGGCATTC